GGGATTTTTTCAGGCCTTTAAAGTCAGGGAGGGGGGAAGTGATCGATGACAGTGTGTAAATAAGCTCTGCATTGAACAGCTACTTTTTATCAGTTTTCACAGAAGAAATTAAGGAGGAAATTCCAGAGGTGGAACTGATATTTAGAGGAAATGAAGAAGAGAAATTAAAGAATATCACGATCAGAAAAGAGGATGTTCTTAAGAAAATAAATAAATAAAAGAAGACAAAATCCCCAGGGCTTGATGAAATTTTCCCTCGAGTTTTGAAAGAGTGTAAGGAACAGATTAGCGGACCCCTCGTAAATTTATTTACAAAATCATTAGACACGGGAGTTGTGCCAGACTTGTGGAAACAGGCAAATTACTACCCATATTCAAAAAGGGAGACAGAGCATCAGAATCAAATTACCGGCCGATTAGTTTGACGTCAGTAGTGGGGAAATTTCTTGAAACAATTATAGCAAATAGCATCCGAATGCATTTAGAGAAAAGCAAATTTATCTACGACTCTCAACATGGGTTTACAAAGGGAAAATCTTGTCTAACAAATCTGCTGACGTTTTTTAGGAAAGTCTTCGAGGTAGTAGAAAATGACCATAATTACGATGTTATTTACTTAGACTTTAGCAAAGCGTTTGACAGAGTACCACATCAGAGGCTTCTGAGAAAAGTTAAGGCTCATGGTATCGAGGGGAAAGTTTTAAATTGGATAAAATCATGGCTCACCGATAGAACACAGAGGGTCAGCGTAGATGGTGTTAAATCTGAGTGGGGTTATGTAATCAGTGGGGTTCCCCAGAGGTCAGTACTGGACCCACTCTTGTTCTTAATCTACATAAACGATCTAGATACTGGGATCACCAGTGACATAATCAAGTTTGCGGATGACACCAGAATAGGGCGGCAGATTAATTCAGGGCAGGATGCAAATGCACTGCAGGAGGATTTAAATAAACTGCAGGAGTGGTCAGAAAATTGGCAAATGAAATTCAACACCAGCAAGTGCAGCGTACTGAATATTGGAAGAACAAATATTGTTAATGTATACAGCCGTAACAGCATCAACCTAGATAAGTCGACTTGTGAAAGAGACTTAGGGGTATTTGTAAGTCCGGACCTACGGCCTAGAAAACAGTGCGTTAATGTTCGTAATAAGGTAAACAGCGTATTAGGTTTTATATCTTGAAGTGTAATTAATAAGAGTGCCGAGGTCATATTGCAACTATATCTTCCGCTAGTCAGGCCCTTATTATAGAATGGATATTAATTCACTGCAGTCGGTGCAGCGAAGAATGACGAAAATGATTCCGGGACTTAGAAACCTTCCATATCAAGTTAGATTAAGGAAACTAAACTTGCATTCCCTAGAAAGACGAAGAGTGCGGGAAGATATGATAGAAGTATTTAAGTGGGTGTTAGGAATCAATAAAGGAGACGTAGATAAAGTTTTTATAATATCCGAGCAGTAGAGGACTCGTAGCAACGGATTTAAGTTGGATAAATTTAGGTTTAGAAGGGAGATAGGAAGGAACTGGTTCACAAATAGGGTGGTGGACGAGTGGAACAACTTTAGCAACTTTGTAGTAGTGCTGGAATGCTGGGTAGTTTTAAAAGGAGGCTAGATAGATTCATGAATGATAGAGTGGTTGTAACTCTCGACAGGAGCTGCCATGCACAGGCATAGCATTATAAATACTCGAAAAAATCAGAGTCATTTATTGAAGTACTGACAATACAAGGCAATGAAACAAAAAAAATTGTCAGTCGTTTATTGGCAATATATAATATGTGCACTTTGATAATAACATACATAATCACAGTTTATTAGAAACCTTTAAAACAGTCGTTTATTAGAAACCTTTAAAACAGTCATTTATTGAAGTACTTACATGACATGTACACTTTGAAAACAACGTACATAATAGCATGGCATTACATGTATATTTAGTGTTGATGATTAAGACGAATATTCCAACCGACGCCACGAAGAAAATCTTTTACAGTCTTGTGATCCTCCCGTCGACCAACACACAAGTTGCGAAGTCGTTCTTGTAGCTGCACATAGCGTCGACGAACTCTTCTTTGAGGTGGATTGCCAACAGCATCCTGCTTGATAATGGTGCTCACTGTCGCTTCTTCAAGCTGAAACCATTCAATGACACGCCAGATTGAGGGATGGTAGTGACCGACGAGGTTGAAGAACTTATTATTCCACCCTTCACAAATGTTGTTGGTACGAGCATAAATGTTTTTGTTTCATTGCCTTGTATTGTCAGTTAATAAGCGACTTAAAATACTATTTTTTAATTACTTTAATTAGTATCTATGGTGTTTAAAGGAAATGTGACTTTTTTTCTGTGACTTTTTTACCTGTATTCGTATGGCAGTGGAGGGGACGTTGAAGTAAAATGTTTAATAAGATTAGCTTTACCTCTTAATAGAGACTTAAGTTTTTTCGTAAACTGAGTGTTAACTGTGTTGAGAGGATTATTTATGAGCTTAGAATATGTTGCAACATCACATAAAAGGTCATTCATTTTAGAAAAATAATCATCTCTGTTTAAAATCACTAGTGTATTGGCTTTATCTGCTTTAGTAACATGTAGATCCTTTTCTTAAGAGCTTGGATTGCTTTGGTGAATCTTTCTGGACAATTTGGAACACAAGGCTTAGACATAAATGCATACACAATTCTAGGATCATTCGCACCTACAGTGATTTACTTGCATATATATATATATATATATATATATATATATATATATATATATATATATATATATATATATATATATATATATATATATATATATATATATATATATATATTATATATATATATATATATATATATATATATATATATATATATATTTATATATATAACATGTCTGGGTGTAGTACGTAAAGGAAATGGAAAGAAATAATTCTCCGCAACATTACTTATCCTAATCTAGTAAAGCAGCCACCTCGCCTAATCGCATCATTAGACCAATGCCAATATAAGTAACACATTAAAGAGTTTTACCATTACTCTCTATAGTCATGCTTACAACAATTTGAAACCAATTAATTTTACATGTAATAAATTCTTTCTTGTTGTTCTACATATATATTGTATTGCCATCAAAATTTGGCGATATGTGTTTTATTGTAAATAAATATTCGATTTGTCTAAGATTATTTTTTCCATGTGTGGGTTTGGTTGAATCATAAATATAATTCTACACATCTTACTTTGATGACAATTTATACTAAAATTTACTTGAACATGAAGTTTCAGCAAAAAAAATGTTGATTAATAGCTGAAAAATCATTTAATTAAAAAATAAAAATAAACAATTTATTTGCTGATTTGAACATTGCGTTGTAAACTTTTTGGTCACTGACCAAAACTTATATATTTTATTGTATGTGCAGTATAGTATTTATTCTCTTTTGTCCCAAGTCGAATAACATCTTTTTTTTTTTAAAGGTTAATTGGAAGGGAGGAGGCGGGAATGGCATTGAACGCTGCTGTAATTTCAGTCCACTCCTTCCTATTCCGATCACTGACTGTAAAACCTGCGGACCTGCCTTTAAATATGTTTTCTCGCTCTTTACGCTTGGCTGTGAGAGGGTCAGCGCGTCGCTGACAACGTGAGACGTCTATTCACACTTATACTGTAGGTGTGCCACCATAACTGGAGGGCACAACAACAATAAAACGGAAATTTACAAGGAAAAAGCTGATTATAACATACCCTAAATCAACTACGAAACAAAATTATTATTTAAAGGAAGAAAAATAATACATGGAGAGCCGTCCATTGGGTTTACAAAAATTAAGTGGCTGTACGCCGAGCTCGACGGTGGTAGAGGTGACTACGAATACCTACCATACAATTGTTGTATACCATTGTGATGAGAGCACTTGCATCGTGGTGATAAAACACACACAGAAAAAGTAATGTGGCTGAATATCTTAATGTAATAATATGAAGAAAGTTTCTAGAAAAATAAAACATTGTTTCTCATTTATTAAATTTCCAGAACCTCGTATACACAAAAATCTTGTCTTACCTGTCTTTATAGTTCCTTAACATTTAACAAAACTTCCTGGACTAAATTTTTATCTTATAAACTTTCTTCTGTTGATCCTACATTATTCACTGGGTAAACACACACACAAAAACAGCACGAAGGCGGCTATAAAAAAATCCTGATCACCTTAGGTTTTTTATTTGGTCCCGCCACTGTTGACTGTTCCCGTATCAGGACGACTCGATGCCGCAATCTGGAGGGACACAGGTATATATATAACTGATACCTGCACTAGTTACGAGAATAATATTTAATATAAACACTATAAATGCATCCCAAGTTTCAGGTTAAGAAAATTTGTTAATCTCAGGTAATAGAATAAAATGGCTGATAGATAAATTAGATACATAAGTACTAAGGCGTCGTCGTAACACCAATAGCGTACACAGGAAACTCAACTGGACCATTAAATTCCAAGATCAATTTAACAAAATACTTTCGAAGGGCATGGCAGGTAGTTTAATATCAAATATCATTTCAAGTTATTCATAAGTATTTTGGTACAGAGGAGTGGGGCAATTCCAAGCCAACAGCTTCAGTAAGGTAACACCAGCCTCTCCACTCTACATAAGGCGACACTTGTAGCCACATTTGAGGCCCTCACTTTCACTATGGCTACATAATTGCATGACTGATGGAAAAAGACACAAATGTATCAATTAATTCAGGGCCAAATCTTGTCAAACAAAGAAATTACAACGGGTAGAAAACGAGACTTCATGAATACTATTATCATTGTCGAACTTTAGAAAGACTTTGTTTATCTATGAATACACCAAGAAAACAATTTATTCTGTTTATCTTACTTAATAACTGGAGCTTCACTGACTGGCCAGGTGATAGTCATGCAGTCAGCCATCACCTGAGGGAGGTATAAAAGCTCTTACATATACACCTCTTCATCCTGTCAACAGCTAATCTTGATCCGTCTAACATCAGCATGGTAAAACTTATAATGGCTTAAGTAAATTGCCATCGGCGTCTTAAAGTGTCTTCTTTACTTAATGACAATACTACTACTACTACTACTACTACTACTACTACTACTACTACTACTACTAATAATAATAATAATAATAATAATAATAATAACACAGTTACACTTAAGGTTGAGATACAATTATAAGAGTTGAGATTTCTTTGTCATAACAGTAAGAAATACTATCTAGAGTCATTACGGTAAAGTTTATTTTGTTTCTAAAAATATTCAGCTTGACCACTTAAAAAGAAAAAGTAATTTTTTCTGCCTTCATCACAAGTAAACCATTCCTTGCCTCTCTTCTCTTCAGTAGTTTTCTATAATCCAGGAGCGGATCAAAGGGGGATCCTCGAGTCCAGACCCCCTTTTCATCAGAAAATTTCAATACTTTTTCTTTAATGCAGTATTGTACTCAGGCGTTTTTGTATAGTAAAAAGTTATTAATATTGCCCACAGCATATCTCTTAATATCAAGTGCACATGGACTCAAAATGCCAATGATATTGATCAGATTTAAATAAAATTTCTCGGGAGGCTTACAACACCCTCCCTCCCCTCCCCGAAAAAGCAAAAAACAAATGCTGGTTGGGCTCGCTCTGCTCGCCATGTTCCCCCGCCCTCATCTTCTAGGACTCCCCATTTTAATATTTCCTGATCCGTTCCTGTAATCAACTGTTGTAACAAGTACTAATGTAAGCTTGAAATTTTGTTCCCATTTTTATCATAATCATTCGAGTCAATGAGTTTGCGTAATGTCATTTTTTTTAACTCATTGGTAATTTATATTAAGATGGGAATGCTTCTAATGATGAAATAATTTGACTATTTCAGAGGTCGATAATAGTTTCCTTGGCTGTGGGTCTCTTGATCGTGACCTGCCTCGCCATGGCAGATGACAGTGGCGGCCACGGTGGTGGTGGTGGCGGCTATGGTAGCTCCGGTGGCGGACGTGGCTATAATGGCTCCAGTGGAGGAGGTGGTTATGGTGGCTCCAGTGGCGGAGGCGGCTATGGTAGCTCTAGTGGCGGAAGTGGCTATTCTGGCTCCAGTGACGGAGGCGGCTATGGTGGCTCCAGTGGTGGAGGTGGCTATGGTGGCTATGGTAGCTCCGGTGGCGACGGCGGTTATGGTGCCTCCAGTGGTGGAGGTGGCCATGGTAGCTATGATAGCTCCAGTGGTGGAGGTGGCTATGGTAGCTCCAGTGACGGAGGCGGCTATGGTGTCTCCAGTGGTGGAGGTGGTCATGGTGACTATGATAGCTCCGGTGGCGACGGCGGTTATGGTGCCTCCAGTGGCGGAGGCGGCTACGGTAGCTCCGGTGGCGGAGGCAGCTATGGTGGGTCCAATGGCGGGGGCGGCTATGGTAGCTCCAGTGGCGGAAATGGCTATTCTGGTTCTAGTGGCGGAGGCGGCTATGGTAGCTCCAATGGAGGTTATGGAAAGTAAATGTAAGCATGAAGAAATGAGACACACCAATACTAAGTTTCCTGAACTCTTCTTCGCCAGTTTGTGTCTCGTGATTCTTGTGTTGTAAAAATAAAACTTACACGACTGTGAAAGTAACTTTGATTTACGCCAACTTCCTATTCTTGACATCAATTACCAAGTGTGGTGTAAGAACAATTAATGGAGCACTTGAAGAATTAATTTTATTAACTATTCACGATGTTAAACTAATCTGCGTTTGACATTATATCTTATGATTAAAAAATATAACTTTATATAAAAATTGAGCTTCCTTTTCAGCACGTAAGTTTGAGGAAGAAATAATGTAAATAAAACCTAAAATTCCTATATTCATTTCGTGAATTCTTAAGTTTCATACAATATTCATGGCCACATATAATACACTAAATGTGTAGAATTAAAAAAAATGCATGTCTTGAGACTTAACTGTCATGGTAAACCTATAATATCCGACAAACAGCAATGTGCTAGAACTTGGATGGATCAACCACTGCCAGAATTAACTACACCGCTCACTCACTCTCGCCAAACACTTCCTCATGACCCACCCCAGTAAAAATAACTCAGGATTTTAGATATTTAATGACATTTCTATCCAATGGTGTTGTTTAATTCCTGCAATCTTATATGTCAACCCTCAAACGTGCATGTAGTAAACAAAGTGGTAATATTGTCTCATCTCACCTGTCGTATTTCTCCCACTCCCCACGAATGACCTCGAATTGAATTGAATTGAATTGAATTGAAACAGTATATTTAGCCAGAAAAACACAGATACAGAGTGGATAATAACAACAATATTAACATGGCTGAGCCAGTTGAGAACCTGAGCTCTCTGTTTTAGGCACCTGATATATACTATACATTTATCTCACGGAAGTATTATGTAAGATTTATTATCATCTGGAATAGTACAATAGCATAGTGGTAATAGGAACATCTAATAATGTTACCACGGTTATCACTTCAATATTAATTAATTTTCTTTATTTATTATTTTTTTTAGTTTATTTATTTGTTTTTATTTACATATACATATATCACAGTGGAATTGAAAAACATAAGTATAATGGGGGAGCAGGGGTTGTACAGTAATAAGGTTGAACAAGAGGACAGAGCTGCCAGGATTATGTCAGTTTAATTCAATTTCAATTGTTTATTCCTTGATAGAGGAAGCGGGATCCTAGTGCTGTCACTTGGTACCCCTGTACAATAACACCAGAAGCATCTGGCAAGTGTGACAAAAATGCCAACACGATATGCAATATTATGTAAAGGGCTTACTAAAGCCCACCGGAAGATAATCCTTTAACGCAATCAATGACATTGTTACATATAATATCTGGCCATGGGAGGATCATCATGTCTCCATCAGGGTCGTGGAGTGGTGATTCCAGCAGGCGTAGGAAGCGTTGTGTGTGGGACTCATTTACAAAACATCTGGCCAGTATGGAGGATCATCGTGTTCCGCCAGCCCGAAAGATTACGGTCCAGCAGGCGCCACGCAAGCCAAGTGGGGACATCTAAGAGTGTAGTGGATAAGGAAGCTACGATGACATCGCACCAGGTGGGCGGAGTCCAGGATGGCTGCTTCCCTAGGTCTCTCTGTTTGCGGCGAATGGGTTCTAATCCGTAAGAGTGTTCAAGAACAACGTAGCCAGGTGTCGCCTTGTTACACCAGTCTGGCAAGGCCATCTGCTGCCTCATTACCCAAAATAATGACATCACTGGGCATCCATAGGAATGTCACAGGACGGCCTGCATCCTGAAGTGTGGATGTTAACCCTTGTATTCGGAGTATGAGGTCCTTATTTTCCCCTGATCCAAAACGCCATCCTCGAGCACATCTGAACCAGCAGACAACAAGGCAGAAACCATCTGCTTCTTCCTCAGAGAAGGGCAGCAAGGAGGGCTAACAGTCCAGCCTGAGTGAGGATGCCCCGCCAGAAACCCTGAGAGACAATCCGATAGCTCACGGGCATCAGGACGGAGATGTCCACACCAGCCCCAGCCCTACCTGCAGCAGGGTCAACAGAACTATCAATGTAGAGGACGACCCTACCTGGGGACCACAGTGGGGATCCTGGAGAGGTGGTATTTGCAGAGAATAACAGGGTTCACTCTGGGATTTTGGGAGCGGTCCACCGAGGTCAAATCACTGCTGAAAATCCAGCCAGGAGGAGACGAACCAACAGCAGGTGACAAATAACAGCAGGAGGTCGTGTTCCTGAAGGATCGGATGAGGACCCTGCCACTGTCTTCTAGATGGAGGTCGGCTCGACAGCAGGACAAGTTATTTGGACATAGCTGCCCCGAGGATCCCAGGAGAGGGAAACGCAGTTTTAGGTAAACTCCTGGACACGATTCAAAGGGGAAAGACCAAGTTCAGCATATGGAGCCCTAAGGATGATACTAGCAACTTTCCTCTGATAACTTCGAGACGCAGTTGACAGCAGTCCCACTAATGCTGACAGGCAGGGTCGGAGTAGTCAAACAGGAACGGACAAAGGACTTGTACATGGTGAGAAGTACAGGATGGTGTACAAGAACCCCTGCACATGGTAGAGAGGAAGCGAGACGCCGAAGCATATGTCTCAAGATAGCGGACTTCAGGGATCTGGACAACGTGGTGCGAAGTTAAGCATACACCCAGGTATTTTGTTCATTAACCCAGTCTAAATGCCTCCTGATAAGAGAAGGGTGGAGGACACAATGCGATACATCGCTTCTGCTGTCGAGTTGAAAGAAGGAAACCAAGTGAATCACACTTCCTGGGACCACATCAAGGGCTTCCTGCATGCTGAGGTAGTCAGGGGCTTGGAGGAGGACATCGCCGGCATATCCTGAGTGACAACTTCTGTCGGCCACGGAGAGATGCAATGGAGTGCATGAGAGTGTTAAACAAGGTGACTCAGGACTCCACCTTGAGGGGCCGAGGTTCATTTCTTTGAACAGGAGACATAGAGCCTTCAACGCGAACCCGGCCTGACGTCCAGGGAGGTAAGAGGCATCCATTGTAGAAGTCTCCTTAACCCCTAACCGCCAAGTTCTGCTAAAATGAGGGAGGCTGAGTCAGACGCTCTCGACACAAAGGAAGACACGGGCAGTCTGATTGGGGACAAAAGGCAGCAATGGCGCAAAGCACAGGCGATGTTGAATGAAACCATATAGGAGCTGGGAAGGGCTATGGTGTGTGAAGAAGGCACGATGGAGTATCTCTCCATCATCTTGCAAAACACAGGAGGTAAAAGACTAATGGGTCGATATTTCCCAGGATCTCCAGGCTTAGGGATGGGGATAATAGGCATTTTTTCCAGTTGACGGAGAACCCCATGTTCATAAGACATATTAGAGAGCAAGCAAGGCCGTTAGGAATATTAGTACAGGTGCGGAGGACGGAGAAGGTTATCTGATCATCCCCAGGAGAGGTGTTCTTTTTTCTAGATCGACGAGCACTGTCAAGCCTTAACTGTGTGATGGGATGATCAGTGGGGGCATAGGAGCACAGACACGCCATGAGAGAATATATTCATTGTCCGGCTATAAATGCATAATCAGTGTATCAGAAAAGATACAAAAAAACAAAAAAAAAATATATATATATATATATATATATATATATATATATATATATATATATATATACATATACACAATATATACAAGTGTCCCATAAATTTCCATACATAGAAAAATAAACCTTTTATATGAATTTCATAAATAAATATATCCATATATATAAATTATACACTATATATATATATATATATATATATATATATATATATATATATATATATATATATATATATATATATATATATATATATATATATATATATATATATATATATATATATACATTAAGAGGGTGTCCTATAAATTTACACATAGGAAAAATAAACCTTTTATATAAAATCCATTTTATTTATATATGCTGTACATGACTATCTGTTGAAAAAACACTCTTCACCATGTCCTCCACTGCTGAAGAACACGCACACAGCTGGAGATAAAGATGAGAAATTCCCAAGCCGCCATGTAATTCACATCTTCAAGCGCTGGGAACTTCGTATTTTCTTTCTTTCCATGTAATATCAGCATATACCTAGACCACGACCTACAGATATTTATTTTGCATACAATATATATATATATATATATGTAACCGGTCGGAATTTGCTGGACTTTAATTTCTCACTTGACTTGGGGTTTATTAAAATTTAATAGATGGTAAAGGCAGTGGAAGCGCCCCTTTGAGAAAAATCCCGAACCAGCACAAGAACACTTAAATCTACTACACAAAATGAACTGTCCGTGACCCTTGGAAGGATAGCGTCTGTGACTGGGATGAATGAGACACACTGTAAAATTTAGACACTTATATTCCCTCCAACACTACAAACACAATCAAATAATGGTACA